GACTGATGACCTGCAGTCGCTCTGAGGACAAAGAGGAAGGACTGTCCGTCTGGCTGGGGGGGGCTTTCCTCCACGAATACAAAGGCTAGTTAGCGCAGACGGGAGGTACGCCAGGGCTCTTCGATTCCTGCCCCTCTGAATGGAGAAATAAAAGTCTGAAAATGTGTAATGAGCTCGCTGCTTCCTCCTCGCTCCATTCTGCCCCTCCCGGCTTCTTGTCCGTTCTTTTTTTCTCTCCGGGTTTGTTTCACGGAAGGGCTGCGTGTGTGTTTACGTGCGCGCGCGCGTGTTCGCCGTTAGCTTTACTGTCTCACAGTGAGCAGCCCACATGCCGGGGATAAACCTTTCGCCGAAAAAAGGGGCAGACGTTTATCGTTTTTTTTTCCCTCTTTCTCTCTCTTTCTGCAGAGGGGTGAGCGACACGAGACGGACCCGGATCCATCGCGTGGCCCGACCCACCAGGCAGAGCCGGACGCTGGGCCGAGCGGTCTTATCTCTGGCGCGGAGGTTCGGCCGGGGGAGCAGGGGGCTCCTGGCCGCAGCACGGGGATGGGGGGGCGCCGCTCGCCTTGCGGGGACGGCATTGGCGGGCCCGGCGGACACGGCGGTGCTCCTCCTGTTCCCTGAGACCCTAACTCGTGAGCTCTGTCAACCAAAAATCACGGGTTAGGCTCTTGGGACTCGGGCGGAGGGCACGGGCGTCTCTGGACATCGGCCATCTTTCGAGGGTGGAGCTGACACGGGGGGTTGTGGCGGTGGCAGCGACAGCGGCAAGGCAGACAAAGAGCGAGACTGCGAAGCAGGCGACGAGAGAGAGCTTGTGATGGCGCTCAACTTTCTGAAGCTGCTAGCCTCCCGCTAACGTCTTCAGATCTGCCGCTAATATGTCTCCTGATGCATCTGTGCATTTCGAAATCTGGGAACATGAAGCATCTAAAGACAAAACCAGGGACTGAGTGCAATTCCTGTACTACTTCTGTGTGTCATGTCCAACTTAGCCTGCTTAAGTATATTTACAAGCAGCCGTACATGTGGATGCTGATAATAAAATAACTTTAATATCCACGTTCTGATTATAGTAGACTTCATAAACTGCTGATGCTGTGCAGCCACGCATGCACAGCCAGGGCATGCTGCAGTAACGTTGCATGCTGCAGTAACGTTGCATGCTGCAGTAACACGGCTTTTATTAACTTATGGACGTGTTTTGCAGCGGTTTTCAAAAAAATTGTAAATAATGCGTTTAAGAAAAGCGAATCATTTGGGGACTTTATAAGCGAATGCCAATGCGATTCAGATGTCATGCATTCAAACCCGTGTACTGCTAGCCATCTGGTAACGATTAGTTAGCGCTGACAAAATTGGTTTAAGGAATCAAGTTTATTTTAGTGCTGTGTAACATTCTGAAGAATCTGTGTGTGCACACTGCAGGGGGAAGATACAAGTCTATTTTCGACAGAGTTTTGCTACCTCGGTTTTTAATTGGTTTCTGTGAACGCTGATAAAGTCGAAGTAATGTCTTACATTAAAAATATTTATAATTAAGGTTGATATTTCAAAGCAGCACATTCATTGTTCATTTTGTCACTTTTACCAATTCGTACATAATGCCTTTTGGAATCAGCCACACTCTGCAATCATTTTTATCACAAGGATAAGAAGTGTGGATTTTGTGACTAAAGCGTACCTGAAAGAAAGGCTAACCTGCGTATATGTCAGCTGGAAGTCGGATGTCGCCACATTTTTGAACCTGTGTTCTGCTTTGCTGACACAGACCGTGGCCTGTGAGAAACACCAGGGCCCATGAGACAGACTGAGAAAGTCTTGGGGGGGGGGGGGGAACGTAGGACTGAAGAGAGAAGAAAGGTTTGGTCTTTGAAATTCTATAACCCTTCAGTTTTTACAGTAGATAATTAATTTTGAATATCTTTTTCTCACTGTTTTCGCAGCAACACACACTCACTTTACAATGCGGCGAGCTCCTCTGTCCAAATGTTCTTCTCGTTCTCGATATTGCGATGGTCGTACCTGTAATGATGTGCTTTGCCACATCAGTTTATTGTAGATTTGGACACTGCTTCATACGTCAGGTGTCGCTTTAGTAACGTCGGACTATGTGTCACTCATTCACAGATCTGAGTTTGGAACTCATTTTTGACCGAACACATAAATATACACAAAATTAAAATACCAGCGTCGTCATTTTGGACAGAAGTCTTGTGTTTCTGTAAATATGAAGGTATGGAAAATGATCTCTTGTCTGGCTGCCTCGTTTTCATACTCTCCTTATAACCTTAACCTGCAAAAAACACTGCATATTGTTATTACTTTCACACCTGCAACTTGCATTTAAGTTTCAAAATGGATGAACTTCTTTCAAGTTCTGCGTGATATTTACTGTATTCTGCAAGTAACACTTCTGTAAACCCATCCTGTTATTGAGGCTAATGTTACATACTTCACACCCACCAAGATACTGTTTGATTTCTTTGTTGAAAAAGGTTTATGCCCCCCACCATCACCACCACCACGTCCCTGATGAAATGCATTGTGGGAAATTATTTATGGTCCATCACTGCAAATGAAACTGATTTGTACTAAACAGCATTAGAATAAACATACATGATATTAAACTGGAATGAACTTTCTTAATGTTCGCATTGGAGGTGCTGAGCTTTGTATATTTTATCCATCCTCGTTTTACAGGGTTCCTTTTGTGTGCATCATAGTTCTTAATTTATTGGCATTAATGCAGAAAATGTTTTTAAATTGTCGTTTTACTTCTGCAATGCAGCTTTGGGTTCTCATGTTGCATAAAAAACAGATTCATGATCAAAGGAGATATTAAAGAAACAATTAAAATTATTGAAAATGATGCTCTTTAAATCCAGTCTGTCTTTTGTCTTCATTCTGTTATCGGTTTATTCTGTAAGATGCAGTTACACAGCCCCTGTAAACTCTTTGTAAGTCATGCCACACAAACATGTAGCGTTTGAATAGGCCTATTGGAAGTTTGTGTGTGTGTGTGCGTGTGCGTGCCTGTGTGTATATATAATATATAAAATTATTATACAACCAAAAAAACCTCATTTACCCTCTAACCCTTTTTCTAAGACTCATAGAGACTTGCTCTTACAATGCAATGTCAGCTAGCTAGACTGCTAATCATTTAACTTTTTTGGCCACCTTGAGGAAATTCATCCCAAACCACCCACTACAATTACGCGTTTGCATTCTTTCTATCTATCTGTATGTGTGTATATATATATATATATATATATATATATATATATACACACACATATATATACACATATATATATATACATATATACGTACTAATTTGTTTATTTGCTTGCTTGTTTATTTGTTTGTTTTTATTCCCAGTCTGAACCGTGGGTGATTGGAGCTAATCAGACGACGTCTGCAACGCGAAGCCCCCAGCAACAGGGGACGAGGTGAAGGAGGCGGCGGCGCGCCCCGCGCGTACTAAGCAACCAGGCGCGGCGCCGCTGGGCCAAATGTATATATTGGGAGTGACTATATTAGTCCGCAGCTAGAGCTGAAAGAGCCAGACGCCGGGCGGGTGGCGGATCCGCGCCGTGCCTCCCGTATTTTCAGCCTGTACTGAGTTCACTTACAGCGTCCTTCAGCTCCAGAGAAACGCCATCGCCCGCATGTCTCTCTCTCTCTCTCTCTCTCTCTCTCTCTCTCTCTCTCTCTCTATGCTATTCTACCCTCGATTTTGCATCTTTAGCCTCAACTTTGGAATGTAAACAAAAACGCACATTTTATACACCTGTAATATGTAATGCGCAAACTGAAATGCACGGTCAGTTCGGAGTATGTTTAATATTCGCATTGTTCTCTTGTCAATACCAGCACTGTAAGTGCATTTACAGAGTGGGACTGCCATTAATCCCTGAGAGCTTCTGGCTCTGCTTTTCTCATCCCAGAGGCATTAGGTCTCTCTAGCTGTCGCGATTCCGTGCAGGTTTTAACGACCGCGGTGTGGAGCGACGACGCTAATATCAATGCCGCTGGAAACGACTCTCCGCTAAGGGCTTTATCTCGGCACCGCGGAAAAGACGCGGTGAACTACCGACAAAAGATATCGGATTTCTTTAAATTCCCTTTTATTCGTTCTGTCGTTTTCTGACATGGTTGTCTGCAGAAATTAGCGGAACTTCACATTTAAATTCTGGACAGATCCCAGAATGAATCAAAGTAAATTGTATGTATCTGAGCTGCCTTTCTGGTTAATCAGTCCCAGGGATCCCTGGGACTCTGGGTGGGATTTAAAAACAAATCTATGGTTCTTTTTAATTGATATCAGGATTTAGAATTTATACATTGAAATTAGCCTATATTTTGTAATACAGACGAAACCGCAAAAAAAATGTATGAAGCACAGCTGTTGACCAGCAGTTCCTCGTTATTTCGAGGAATATTAATCGGTTTCTTGATATTAATGATTATATCAGGAAATAGAAGTAGTCATCCTATTTCAAAATGTTATGTCTCATAGGCTACTTGTTTTAACTGAAACGATTTTTATATTAATATATGTCAAATCAATGTTCTTTTTACTGCTGCTCACCTAGTATATAAAAATGCAATTCATCAGTTCCGAAATTAAATACTTTTTTCGGTCCATCCTAAATAAGTTTATTTGGTAGTAATTAATTCGTCTTAAGGACCGTGTTCGAGTCATTACCGGCTCCCTCTCAGTGTATTCGATGCTGATTAAATACGCTGAACTGTCAGCTCAGTGGATGTAAATTTTTCACGTTTCTGCGTTTGGATGCGCATAAATACGGGCTTAAGTCCCAGGAGGAAGCACACCTCTGTTTGGGACGCAAAAACGCTGGAGTTTAAACTCTTCGGTTAAGAACGTCATTATGATAATTGGATGCCTATATTGCCATCTTTTAGGTTGCAACTTGTCTCAAGGTAAAGGTGATAGAAATTAGTTATGACAGTTAATAGTTTTGATTGATCTGCGAGAGAAGAATAAAAGATTGTTTTTGCAGTCAATTAAAGGGTCGCCAAGGCTTGCTTTTAAGCTGCAATAAAACCCTAAAATTAAAGTTCCAACTTTTCTGATGGGCAGTTTTCTCTTTTTAATTGGCTGCTCCATGGCTGAAGTTGAACCTTGTCCTAATTTCTCCGTGAAATAAAATCTCAAATTCAAAATATGCTCTTACTTTCTCGCTGTGAAGCGTGTCTCTCCAGTGGCCCTGACCTCCTGCGATGCGGCTACATGGAAGCTCCCTGTAGCTCACGGGGAGACACGGCTCTGCTTTCCAGCTTAAACGACGCGCTGTTTGACATCTTCACCATCCTAGGAAGTAAGTGGAGTGTACAGAAGAACAGAAGTAAAAGGGCAAAGTACAAGACAGGCGCTTGACAGCCCGAAGAGCCGCAGTAAGGGGGAGATGGACAGCAGGGCTCTGTGCGGTGTGTACAGTCGTCTGATTTCAAGGTGTGCGGTGCGTGACAGTTTTTGCACGCGCTCAGGGTAAACTAGGCAGCTGCGATTCCTTTCTTGCGAATAAATCCAACACATTTGCACCTCTGTATTGCGGGTCTTGTTGTCTATGCATCATTAGCCAAAGGCAAGGGGTGAAATGTAATTGTGTTGAATACAGACTCATCATCAGGGCAGGTAACCATGCCTACGGACAAGGCATGCGCCTGCAAAGTGCCGGACAGGTGAGCGCCGCGCTAATTATTTATGCGAGCTGACGTCACAGCAGGGAAGACTTCGCCGTCAATCCGAATCGCCGAGTCCGACCGAAATGCCGCGAGCTGCCGTGCGGCGTCAACCGGGGCCTCGGAGAATCAGGAAAGATAAGGGCGGCGGGGATTACAGATAGCAGACACGGGGAGGGTGCTGGGCGGGGGTGGGGGCGCCTTACGAGGCCTGACGTCTGGCTTTCCAGACACTGCGGCAGGAAGCCAGACAGTCACCTGAGCGCTATTGCTCCCGTTATTTCATTATCGCCAGGCTGCTCCAGCTCCGCCTGACACCCCCTCCCCCATAATGATTAAAGGGCTTTAATACTGATGGAGGAATGAAAAAAGCGACGCGCTGCCCTCCGTGTCGTGATTTCCTGGGGATAAAAAAATATTCAGGCTAATCCAAGCCGCAGTGAAATTAAAATAAGATCAGATGTCTTTATTAGTTTGGAGGGGTGCTGTCCGCTCAGGGAAGGCATTGCGACTCCCATAAACGCGGAGGATCAAACGCAGGGATTTTTTTATACCTGGGTTTCTTGTGGTGTGACCAGTAACCGGGTGTCATGCAAAACACTTGTCTAAGGCACAAAAATTAACTTTTTGCAGTTTGGCAAAATATTATGAAATCAGGACCTAGATTTACACATTTCAATAAAACGATGTCTATGAAATGTGTAAATCATTATTTCAAAACATTTCTTGGTAAAAAAAAAGGGCCTTGAAGCATTACCTTCCCTTTTTTTAGCATTACAGCAGCTTGTAATGCTGTTCCCAGTGTTTTTTCCACAATAAGTGTGTATACGTCAGTAAAAACATCTAACGTGTGTTAGATTTTCTTTGAATTGTTACCTCATAGATTAACGCCTGCAGTACACAGTAAATGAAGGATAAATAAGGAAAATGATGGTTTCTGCAAAGAACCCTGAAATCAGACCATAGAGACGGTGATGACAATCAAATGTAACACAAGCTGCATTTTGTGAGAAAGTAATACGGAACTGCATTGGAATAAACTTTCAGAAGACAGTAGCACTTCACAGAAAAGCAGAAAAATACTTAATTTTACATAATTTTAATATTGTTTAATATTTCTGTAATCAAAAGTGTGAAAATAGGATTTTCAGTGGCTCTGTTTCTTAGTTCTACAGTATACATAATCACCTTAATTTGCTAAATGAAATGACCTTCTGTTGTTGGACAGACTCATGCAGTGGCTGACAAATTAGGGCAATTTACCTTCAATTTCATTATATGAAAACAGTTTTTCTCAGATTGATATAGCTACATAACTTAGTAAGGTTAATGTCATTTTGGGGATGTACTTCAGTTACAAGTTGTATCATTACAATTTTGTGTTTTCTGGTTTTACTGAAATTTCCCCTATTACTGAGACTAAGCACTTGAGGAATAATTTGCTTTTATATGAAATTAATATATGGCACAATATCGCATGTTATTTTACAAACTGTAATGGGGCGTTAAATATTGACTGCAAAATTATTTTTGAGAAGGAACAAAAAAACAGGAACAGGGGAGACAGCTTTGTTTCTCCATAATAAGTTGTGAGAAAAGCATTTAAATTTGCAGTAATTAATCACAAATTGTCAATGAATATAATTAAAACTTTACTGCTTGTAAATATTTAGAATATCTGAGAAAGCTGTGAAATTATGCTGGAGTGTTGAAATATTGCCAAACTGCTGGTGATGAACGGCAGTAGGGAATTTTCAGGGAATGTCACAGGTGTCGGAATCTTTTTCCGGTATTTAATGATTGAAATCTGTACATGCTAACGATTAAAATGTGTTTCACTTGGTCAAAATGGACTGGTTTTACTTTTCATTCTAATTGCTTTCAAAGGCAAGAAGAGAATTGGGCAATTTTGCATCTGCTTGCAGCTAGCTGGGTGAATATTGTGTTTCTATGCCTCCCATCCGAGCCTCATGTCGTGCTGCAAATTTTACCTGTAAGTGAACTAAAGCTTTGTCACTGAACTGTTCCATCCATTATGTTCAGCGGTAATGTAAAACTGATCTAAGATATGGATAACAAAACGGCTGGTCGTGGCTGTTTCCTTGCTGCGTGATCGCTCCGCTCTCTCCCCCCCGTCCCCGTTCGTCGTCTTGCTTCGCTCCTCGAGTTATTGCC